CAACATGTGTATGTATCTTGTTCTCTAGCTACCAAAGAGCTGCAGTTACTGTCTCCACCTCCATTCTCATGCTAGATGTTGTGATGTCATATGCTAGGCTGTCTTGCACTAAAAATTTTCCATTGACTTTCACTACGAACCCCCAGGCACTTATCTTTCCTCTCAACACTGAACCATTTGTATAGATAATCAGATCACCTGGGGGTGAATTGTCGTAAATCAACTGTTGGACTTCCACCTCCATAGCACCTGCTGGCCACTCTCTGCACTCCCTGCCTAATGTGATCATAACCCTACACAGGTCAGACTTTTCCTCTGGTACTCTGACTCACTCCTCTCCTCGCCCAATGCTCTCCAGCATGCATAGTTGTCTTATTGTGTCTTCTGTTTGAGCCATCCACGATTTTCCTCTTTTCAGCCTCTGTCCCTTACCTGCAGCCAAAGCTTCATACAGAGGGTGCTTCCTGTCTGCAGCTACTCTGAGCTATGACTTAGCCTGCAGCACCTTTAGCCTATCTGCAATAGTCGGCAATGCAAGGATGTAATGCATGCACACAATCGGGGTGTCTCTTGTACATCCCAGGATCACCCCCATAGCTTCATTCTGTATGCGCTCCAGTTTCTCTAGTTGACTCTTCGAGACAGTGAGTAACCAAAATCCATAATCAGTCACTGAGATAATTAAGAGCTGGTAAAGTGTGAACAGCATTCTTTGCTCCATGTCCATCACTGCCATATCTTTAGTGCTTTAAGACCTTTTTGAGCCTTTGTCACAACCCACTCTATGTGATCCTTGAAAGACAAAATTCTATCAAAGGTGATACCCAGGTACTGCAGTCTGTTGTCTCTTTTGATGTCCCTGCTATTTATTTTGAGTCTGGGAACATCCGCTATAACAATCCGGTTGTCCAAAGAACACCACAGGACGGTTGCCTTTTCTGGGTTGATTACAGCACTCATTTCTGTACACCAGTCGATCACCTTATCTACTGTCACCTGTAACTCTTGAGCTGTTTGATCCCGATCTCTCCCCTTCCTGTTTAGGAGAACATCATGTGCAAATGTAAATATTCTGCCAACTCCAGGTGTTCCCAGTTCCGCAATCTTGCTTGTAAACACATTGAACAGCATATGTGAAATTGCAGATCCCCGTGGGAGTCCTTTAGCTATAAAACATGGTTTAGAGGTCAATGAACCCAGGCGGAGAGCTACCCGGCGATTATACAAAACTGCTGCTTTCCAATTCACCAACTAAGGACAGACTTTGATTAAGATACTAAGTTGTTTCAGAAAAGCTGGGAAGGCGTCAAACAAAACCACGTGTCTTTCAAGAAGAGTTCAGGTGAGAGATGAAGAGATAAGACAAGACTATTTGGAATAAAACTCATTTTGTTAAAGTTATTGAGAAACAGATTTAAATAGTTCGGCCACCTAGTGAGAATGAATCTGATGACACCAGCAGCAAAAACAAGTTTGCTTCGGACCAGGAAAGCAAACAATGTTTCAAAAAGTCTCTCTCTCTCTCTCTCTCTCTTTCTCTCTCTCTCTCTCTCTCTCTCTCTCTCTCTCTCTCTATATATATATATATATATATATATATATATATATATATATATATACACACACACACACACATACAGCATCTTGTCTCAGAAGTTGAAATAAGATAAGAGGTACAGCAAAAGGTAGACCAAGAACAAGATGAAAAGATAACATCAGAGAAACTCAACAGCACTACGATGTGTCTTTGGTCAAAGCAGCCAGAATAGCTCGAAGCAGGCGCTTTTTCCCCCTCAGCGGTAAAAGAGGACGAAGATAAGAAGATGCTTCTTCTTCAACTTCTCCTCCTCCTCCGCTGCCTCCTTCTTCTTCACCAGCTGTTAAGTCCAGCGAAAAGCTCTGGTTGTTCGTCCACTTCTGGACTTTATTCTGGATCCAGAACAGCAGTTCTGGCTTATTTGTATACAGACTGTTGGTCCCTTGCCTCTCAGATGCACTCCGACTTCAAACTATACCCCAGCTAATCGACTGTTACGACTTGCTTGCTGGGGAGGCAGTGGATTTATTTTTGTTTTCCTTCCAAAATGGGGCTTCGGAACCCAAACAAGGAAGCATTAATTTTAAGTGCATTTAAAATATTATTTGATCACAATAAAAACTGCATTGTTTCGGATTTGACTATACTGGAGTTCTTGTTTCTCACCTTTGAACTTTCAACTTTCTACACACTCGGTCAGGAACTGCAGGCTGGGGTCTAACTGAGCAGGGGCCTAGCAACGAATACAGCTGTAAGTATTTTATCAATCATCAAGAGAGAACATTTTATACGTACTTTTCTTTCAAAGTAGATGAGGGTCGTGGTAGATAAGTGTGTAGGGATCTTGCTATTCAGCATGTAAAGTAAAGGTTCAGTGACCTTTCTTCAGTAGAACACTAAGTGAAAAGACTGTAGGATTTCAAGGTTTGTCACCGGAGACTCGGATTCTAATCTCCGCCTCTTGACCTCAGCGACCGTTAAGATTGCGGTTGTAACTAGAGATTTATTTTCACATTTAATTAATTGAAATTTGGGGTGTTTGCTGAAAATTTACGTATCGATTTAATAATACTATAAATCTTCGTACATCTGCAGTTGTCAACGCAAGTAAACACTTTAACTTTGATATTTTATTTATAATCTTCAGCTATAATTTATTATCTAAACACTATAATAAAATTATAAAGCAAGTCAATTAGTTTGAATTAGAACTAGAGATTGTCGACATCTCTATCGGGTCTGTCTCGAAAAGTTAACAGCGGCGGCCGGGTCGCCCAAGGGCTCGCAGGTAGACGACTTTGTCGCTGTATCAACACCACAGTTGTTTTTCAGAGCTCTTGGTGGAGTGCAATGCTAATAGCCATTTTATATGTTGCACATAACCTAGTCACAATTATAGGCTATCTTCCGACTAACGGTCCCAAATTATTGAGACAGAAAATATACCCTAACAGGGCCTCAGCCACGTGTCAATTGCGCATTTCTGGCAACTTAAATTGCACACTTCCGCCACCGCCGAGAGTATTCCCCACGCAGCTCACTAGATGGCTGGGACTCACGAGCAGCAGCTACCGCATTTCCTGCAGCTGCCTTGATTTTATTTGCTCCTAGCCATCTAGTTTAGCCCCAATCCTCGCAGCGTGAGCGGTGTGGTGGATACTCTCGGCGGTGGCGGTATAGTCCCCAGAAGTTCGCAATTTGGTGGTGGCAATATAGTCACCGGAAGGGCGCAATCGACACGTGACTGAGGCCCTATTAGGGTATATTTTCTGCCTCGATAATTTGGGACCGTTATTCGGAAGATAGCCCAAATATAACCTAAAGCTCCCCCTTTCGGGGATCCTGGATGAGCGTGACGATTTGGTATTTTTTTCCCAGCAAATCATCTACTTTCACCAAAAGTTAGTAGTTCCACCCCGCCCCCACGCCTCCCCATTTTTTTCCCTTCCAAATTGCACTGCAGGTAACTTCATAATTGTAGGCTGTAGGGGTGTCCTCTGAACAAGGTAAGTTTCTGGGGTTTGCTTCTGTTTGATTCTTATCTACGGGGAGTTAATCCCTCAGTCAGCAGCCCTGGAAGGGAACAATGACCGACCCACCCGAACAATTTGCTGATGTGGACAAAAGATCATTCTAAAACATTCAGTCCTTATGTCAGACACTTGTAACAATTACTTTATTATTATCATCATCATCATCAAGTGTCTTTCTGACTGTCGTGAATGATCATGCTTTTTGGAGTATCTTCTTCTTCTTCTTCTTCATTTTCACCAGCTGTAAACTCCAGCAGAAATTTCTGGTTGTTCGTCAACTTCTGGACTCTAGTCCTGTTCCAGAAGCTGAATGTTGTGTGCACATCCATTTTATTTACATGTCTGACTCATTTGCATGCAGACTGATGGTTCCTTCCCCTTAGGCAGATGTACTCTGTCTTTGAAAGAAGCTTCCAATTAGTCGACTCTTACCACATGCTGGATGTTGAGGAGGCACTGAGTCTATTTTTGTTTTTCCCAACAACGGGGTCCCCGACCCACATGGGGATTTTGGGAGTATAATGCATCTTATAAAAAAAAAAATATGGTATATCGTCTTCCAGGACAGTCCAGCCTAAAATGATTACCAGGAAATGTTCTCAGAAGTAGGGCTGTACCGAATATTCGCTTCGTATTCGCTTCGGGGCCGAATAGTGGACCCAATAACTATTCGGTATTCGGCCGAATAGTTGCGGTCGGGCCGAATACGAATAGTGGTTACCTCACAACCGTTTCTGGACTGGTGGAAAAAAAACATCCAGACTTCCCACCTTGGTTTATACTGTGAAGCGTTATCTTTGTGCACCACCTACGAGCGTACCAAGTGCCCCTTTATTTCCATCTTGCATGTGTTGCGAGTATAGTGTTTTTAGGTGTGTTGCTGTTGAAACAAAATGCAACACTTAAAAATGTAAGAGGGGCATAAAAGCAAGTGTTCTAGTGTTGTCGGCTTGATTTCTTTGAGTGGAGTGTCCTCTTCGTTGATTCTTTGAAGTAACGGGAGTTCGTCATCATTTATGGGTGTCGTATCTGTTCTTTCGTCGTCTTGTGGAAACGGCAGCAGCTGAATGTTTTGATCGACGTTCGGTTTCTTGATTGTCTTTGTTGTTTGATCTTCTGGCGTTGGCCCCCCGGCGTCTGGTTTCGTGAGCTCGCGGGGGGCTGGGCGACTTGTAAGGACGGCATTGTTTTCTTCGTCAGCGTTATTTTTGTTTTTGATGTTTCGCCTTGCGGGTTTTCATTTTGACTCTGGGAACTGAAAAAGATTGAATTTTTATTCGATTTGTATTCGGCCCGAAAAAAGCTATTCGTATTCGGCCGAATATTGAATTTGGCTTGCATTAAAATATATTGCTAATGTGAGAACATTACTTCTTTTAACAGGTGCAGTCAGTCAGATTTAGCTTCAGAGTACAGAACCCACATACATGATGAATGTGTTTGATCAAGGATCAGCACCAGCTATGTTTGCTGCCGTTGCTGCCTTTGCAGTTGCCAAGATTGTGGCTGGCCTTAGGTTTCCCAAGATCAACAAGAACCAATACCGCTATGTAGGCAGAGTAGCAGCCATCTGGATTTTTCCAATCAAATCATTTAAGGGAATGAGTATCCAGGAAGCTGATTGTACATCACTTGGGATCAAATGGAAAGAATTTAGAGACAGGTATAATTATATCATCATTATAGAGAGCTTGTTTTAGACTCACAGTCAAGTCTTCCATTCCATTCTGTTCTGTTCATTCCTTTTGATATCATCGATGGAGTTTCTCTTAGACGACCTCACTTCATTTGTTAGTATCCCTTTTCATTTCCTGTTTGATGATTCTGTGTCCGATTTTCCTCATGGAGTACCCAATAAACTGCCATCTCCTTCATCACAAAGCTGATTATACAAGTGGTTGCCCAGATATTTCTATTTGACACCTTTCTTGAATTCATCAAATTTAATTGTCATCAATTCTTTTACAGTGTTGGTTTCACATGCATTTATCTTTTGTTATTTGTATTTAATTATAAATATTGCCTGTGCGTATTTCTTCTCTATATTCTTCTAAGGGGAATGGCGCTGGGAGGAGTTACCAGGGGATCTAGCTGACGGTCGACATTCAGGGTAAGGATGAAACGGAAATAAAATAAGACAGTTACTGGTACCATCGGAATTGGATCTCTTCACTTGCTGCTAAAGATGGGGACTCAGCACTTGTGGGAGTGTCCCGAGTGCTGTGATGTCTATTCTTAATTCAAAATTCAATATTTATTCAAAATATTCTTCTTCTGCCTTACATTTCCAAATGGGTCAGAGGCCAGTCCAGCTGACACCAAAATATGTGTAAACTGTAAGTTTTGTGATTGATCGAGAAATAAAGGTATAAGACTTAAATTTTTAAAAAGGACTGTTTAGATTGTTTTGTTAATTCTCATGTGAGTTCTAAGACCCATTTTGATAAGAGGGAACAAGAATAGACCCACTGCCCCCCCAGTAAGCGTATGATAAGTGCCCAATTTGCTTTTTCTTGGTTTGATTTGGTTTGAACAGCAGATCAGCATCATGACACAAGAGTGGTAACCCATAAGTGCTCCGTACTGCATCTAACTCAAGCCTGTGTCCGAAGAATCTCTGCTCAGTGCACCAACTCCGTCCATTGGCAAGGATCCTGAAGTACTTTGGCTAGGTTTTTAACTCAAAATTTTGCCCTGTCAGTGCCGTTAGGCTACTCGTTTCAGTTTCCAACTGCCAATGGATTTTTGTACGTGCGCAACAAGACACACGGGCATCCGATCTTACCACCCAGAGACCAGCGGAAATTACTAGAAGTCCATGTGAAAAAAATCCCAGCCTTCACTGGGGGTCTGAACCCGGGACCCCTCGAAGCCGACGTGCCATGCTCAAGACCACTTAGCCCCCCTTTTGCTTTTTCTGAAACTGGATGTGTTAGGCCATATGATGCAGATATTGTAGCCAAACGGTACACCACAACATGAAGTGCCAACTACCCTTTTAAGCCCAAATGCAAAAAAGGAATAGAATATGGGATTGTGCATTGAAGTTATTTCTTCCACCTTAAAACATCTATACAAAACTTTATTTTGTTGTTGCTAAGAATCTGTCTCTCATAGTCCTTGCCATGTGTCATTGGTAGTCTACAAGCTTATGTCTCCTGTACTTTAGATCAATTCCGACACAGATAACCTTCTATGCCATGATGTCAGGCTGTTCAGCATCTTCTCTCTTGGTCTCCTTCTGCCTTTTTTCCCATCTAACTTTGTCACCGCCACGAGGTACTCCAGTTTACTCCTTCTCTAACATGAGCAAATAATGTAGATTGAGCTCTTATGATGTGGGCAGTCAGTTTTTTATGTGAGTTATTTTCTTTCAAGACATCCTCATTACTCTTTTTTTTTTACTCAAAGAGACTAAGAATATGCATTGTGAATATGAATGAGAAGTTTTTGAGTATGCCACTTATAAACATCTTGTCACGTTACCACAGACACTGGACTGTGACCACCGCTGATGGTATCTATCTGACCATGAGACAAGAACCAACAATGGCTCTGATTGAGCCTGTCTTGAAGGGTGATCAGATACAACTGACAGCCCCCGGCATGGAACCAGTTTCTTTCCCCGTGAATCCTGATATTACCAACAACAATGTTAGCAAAGTCATGTAAGATGGTATTGTTGTTTCTATTGCTTTGGCTCAGTGTTTCTCATTTATTGGTTTGTGGACCCCGGGAACAAAATGAATAAATAAATAAAAACTCTTAACTTTAGAATGCAAACCTTATTGTGATTCTAAAACAGTGCAGCCTCAAGATCTGAATTTAATCCATTCAATAACTAAGCTCCTCATTTAGTTAATTACTAATATCAAAATAATTTTTTTAACTCACATCCTGAAACTATTTTGCTCACTCAAATTTATTTAAATATTTTTAATTCGTTCCAGCCAGCCGTTCGGATGCTGTACATAAAATGACTTTTTTTGTTTAATTAACGAGGAAAATGTGTGGTACTGCTTTCTGGTTTTTGCCAGCAGCGGAAAATGGGGTTACTTCTGATCATATGCTACAGTCCATCATCATCATCATGTCGACTGGCATAGGCGATCATAACCTTTTGAATTCGGAATTACCTGTCACCGAAGTCCTCCTTCAGCAATGTTGACATGACCTAATGAATTTAAAAGTTATTGAGATGCTGTCAGGTAATGCTGACAGTCCTCATCTCTCCAGCTTATATCCTGGATTTCATCTCATATTCTGGGGCAAAAGAGCAAAAAGTTGAGCAACTGGCCTCTTATCCTGAAAGACTCGTATCCAGGTACACTCGTGTCCTGAGGTTCCACTGTATTTATAAATTATTATAATTTCTTCAGTGTAACTATTAACCCTTTAGCCCAGAAAGGCCAAGAAATGGACACTTCCTGTTGGGTCCAGTTCCCTGTGAATCTCACTTTTCTGACTAGACTATCTTGACCTGTTTTGAGATTATTAGTTAATACAGTTGACTGAGTTCGCGCATGTGCAAACATTTAGGAGGTCAGGATATGAAAAAAATTTATTAACAATAGCATTTAGAGGGGTTTTTCCGTTGCATTAAATGCCTTTATTTTTTAGCTGTGACGTCAGATTTTCTTATAAACCTCAGGTTACGGGGTCATGGCATAGTCACCCCCCACATGTGTGATTTCAAAAACCCCAGGGGATGTATTCAGTTAATACTTCACCTCTTTCATGTGTATTGATTTCATACATTTTTTATATATTTAAAAAAAAAAATTTTTTATTTTGAAAATGAATTTTTAACGAATTTATAATTGACCTGTGTAAAAAAAAAAAAAAATTTTTTTATGGATTTCTTCAGGAATCCTAGTAGGGTCATGACTTTTTTCTTAGAATTCTCATGGCGAAAGGGTTGAAGTATGAGGTCCATGGTAGAGCTTTGGAAATAAATGGGGTTTGCAGGTCTTAGATAATTGGGAACCATTGATTAAGTTTATTACCAGATTGTTCAGTCATTGGTATTACTGCCACCTATGTGTTCCCAAAATATTTAAATTGTATTATGTGTTTGTCAGTATTGTGATCATTGTTCACAATTTTAAACCTGTCACTTTAGTAATGCTTAAAAAAAAAAGGGGGGGGGGGGGGGGGGGGGGTCATGAACAGTGGGAATTCCCCCCAAAAATAAGTTTGGAAAAAAAAACATTTTACACAGTTGACTAATAAATGTGTTCAAAATGTCTATGTTAATTATTTTGAGTTTTTCAGAAATGTATGAGTTATTGAGAACAAACAGAGGAAGCATTACAATTAATAATTCCTTGTTGCCTAAAAAGCAGAAAGTATTGAGTTACTCAAGCGCTCACTGCTGACCTCAATCACAGAGCGTGGGGGAAACATATGGTGTCAATATGTCTTTAAAACAGCTTATTGCTTCACAAGAAAACCCCTCTAAATGCTATTTATACTAAATTTATCCACATCCTGACCTCTTAAACGCTGTGCAGGCACTAAAACTCAGTCATGGGAACTATGCATCTTGTAAACACGTCACTGTAGTCAAACCGGTTAAGGGGTATTTACAGGGAATTGGACCCCGCTGGAAGTGCTGGGTTTGTGGCTTCCCACGGTGAAAGGGTTAACTTTTAATTACAAGAATCTTTTCAATTGCTTCTTCTGCATCATTATCTATTAGGGCTGTACCGAATATTCGCTTCGGGGCCGAATAGTGGACCTAATAACTATTCGGTATTCGGCCGAATAGTTGCGGTCGGGCCGAATACGAATAGTGGTTACCTTACACCCGTTTCTGGACTGGTGGGAAATGAACTACATCAAGATTTCCCACCTTGGTTCAAACTGTCAAGCGTTATCTTTGTGCACCACCTACGAGCGTACCAAGTAAACGTCTGTTTAGTACAGCTGGAAATATCTTTAGTGAGACAAGAAGCTGCCTTAATGCTGACAACATGGAACGATTTGTGTGTGTGTGGAAAGCTAATGCCGCTTTCATGGATTAACTAAGCTGTCAGTGACAATTTACAAGTTGTTACTTGTTATAAAACTAAGAATACTTTAATTCCTAGGTATTAGTTACCACAGACTGACTGAAGGATGCAAAATCTGCATTTTATAAATTGAAGAACATCTTATGCAATATATCTTTGTCATTGAAGGTTAGAAAAAGAATTCGTGATTGCTACATACATCCAGTTTTAACATATGGCTGTGAGTCCTGGACAATCGGTAGGCAGGCCAAACAATTTCTTGAGGCATCAGAGATGTGGTTTTAAAGAACATTGCTTACAATACCTTGGACAGCACCTGATGATGATGATTCACTATTCGTATTCGTATTCGGCCGAATAGTTGGTCCATCTATTCGTATTCAGCCGAATAGTGAAAATCACTATTCGGTACAGCCCTATTATCAAAGCAACCACCTATGACAGCTGATTTCAGGTGATGAATATTTTCAAAGGGCCTTAAGTTAGCATCATTTTCCCTAATAGTAGGCAGATGACCACACTGTATCCTAGTCAGCTGGGATCTTTGCCAAAAAAGAAAGCAAGGGCAAACAACCTTCTTCACGGTGCGAGAAAGCATAGCGATTTAACACCTGATACAGGGGAAAACAAAGAGACTGAAAACTTGATGATTTTGGTCACATGGTCTAGGTAGACAAAGAACATGGACTTGATCCATGAATCTGGTGAGCGGGTGAAGTGGAAAACTATGGCCAAACCTTTTTTTTTAGTGCAGTGTGTATAGATATGCAGTTTAGACATGTCTCTTAGTTGCTTGAAATGCCTTTCCTTAACTGAACCCATTAATAACCACATTACCCCTAACCCCATAACACACAGCAACACACACATTCTGGGGTGCACCCAATCTTGGCCTGCTTCATTAACTTCAACGGAAAGGTAATACCAGTACATTTGGAATAAAGCATGCCTCAGAAGCTGCCAGAGAAGAACAGTGCGGTCTGTCCATTTGTCTGCCTCTGTCTTTTACTTTACTTCATCATAGGATAAGGCTAGTGCCCTCTCCAATGCCGTTCTCTGGCTGAAGCAAAGACAAGAAGGGTGTCAGATTTTAAATGCTCCGCCCAACATTCAGCTTTAACAGAGAACAGATAGTACAGACTGCTGTTACACTGTAACTGTCATATTCGACCAAGACTTGACACTCACGCACACACAACATTATTTTTGATGTGTGAAATTAAGGTTAATGAGGTTAATGTGTAATTACAGTATCAAAACAGATACTCTTCCCTCAGTTGATTGTGGAGATGAAGTTGCAGATTGGCTAAGCAAATACTTTAACCGGCCAGGCTTGCGACTTCACTTTTCTGCCCCATCTCAGACAAAGCGAGATGCATCAAATGCGAAAAAACTCTGGGAGCATCCAGCCAAACCAGGAGATTTGGTAAGTCAGGAATTAATTAAATGAATCAGTCAGTCAAAAATTGATATAAATGCTCTCAGGAGATTCTCATACATGCTCCATCCCCTTCCTCAGTAGCCAACAGAGTTCTCATAGTGATGTTGCAAGAGACAATTTAAATAAAATGTTGCCTGGTTTTCCCATGTGTGTAAAAGAAAGTTCAGACCTTCTGCCATCTGCCAGGTGAATCTTTTTCTCCAGATATGGGTGCTGTTTTCTGTTACACTGTTTACTTGATCTCATAGAGCAGAAATGGGTGCTGTTTTCTGTTGCACTGTTTACTTGATCTCATAGAGCAGATATGGGTGCTGTTTTCTGTTGCACTGTTTACTTGATCTCATAGAGCAGATATGACTAGGCTGGGGGACTTTTGTGTGTGTGTGTGGGCATTTTGCCAGATCTTTACAGCACAAAGCTTATCCATCCATGCTTTTTCTATGTCACAATTCCACCAAGGAGGTTGCTCCCGGATTTTCTTCTTGCTGTGTTAATTCATGCGCTTGTCTCGCCTTAGTTTACACACCACATCCTGTCCTTTATGTCATAATTGAAAGATTGACCTTTGGCTTGTGCTTTCTACACCTGCTTTACTCCACCAATATACTGCAGTGGTGGTGGTCGCTGCCATGGTAACCTAAGACACCCTATCTACACACTGAATTAAGTGAAGAAGAAACCAGAGCCAGATCAATATCACTGTCTTCATCACCTAGGCGACTTGCTGTCCTGGTGACACAGCCACTGTTAATACAAACCAGGTCAGTGGTTTCAAGTGCAGTCTCAAGGCGCCTCCCCCCCCCCTTGTGTGTTGGAAGAAATGTTTCCCCATGATCTGCCTTTCACATTGAAATCACCACAGAAAATGACATTCTCCTGACATATTACAATTTTATTCAAGCACTGCCATCTTTGGGAATCCACGCTCGCATTGCAAGCATAAATATTTGCCAACACAAAAGGATGAGTGCATCAAATTCCGATGACCTGTATTTGAATTTCGTTGCTGTCCCACCTAGACATGTCCTTCTCTGAAGCCATTATACAAGTATAGCCAAAGCCAGGTGTCATCTGCTGTAAAAACACTGAAACCCAGCCATGTGAAGTTTGTTGTTGCCCAAACACATTTCCTGTAGAGCTACAGTATCGTTGTGGCAGGCCAAGCATTCAAGAACGGGACCTCATTGTTTGACATTGACACAATTCTAGTGCAGAATACACATATTTCAGAATCCTAAACAAGCGCATTTGAGTCGTGTTCTTCTGGCTCCAACACGCTTATATTGCCGTTTTCGCCTACCCCGCCAACTTTGCCTACCCCGCCGACTTCTAGGTTTGTTTGCTTTGTGTACGAGTCACAAACTGTTCCACCATAATGAAAAACTAAACACATCACACAGAATTTGTAAACACATAGCTGAAAGACAGATTCAAAGATGGTTTCACACAGATGCAAAAACTCCGGTGAAATTCTTGAGAAACAAAAAAACCTCTTGGTTTACATATTGGCACAGATAATTACACACAAGAGATAAAAACTATCCATCCTTTACAGGAAAATGACCCGGCCATGAAAAAACCTCAACAGTCTGCCGTCATTGTTGACCGGGGCGCTGCTAGTTACAACAAGTCAGGCTGTACCACTCTTCAGCCTTCAGAAAACTACCATTACTGCTTTCACCTCCTACTAATGCTAGATATTGTGGTGTTAAATGTAAGTCAGGAATTGTGCTTGTTAAGTTGGTTTCTCATATCTCTAACTTGTGAGACACAGGGTAGTGTAGTGTTAAAAAGCTCCCCTATAGAAATTGATTTATCTATATTTTTTTTTTTTTAAAGACTCCACAAGTTAAAAAGGCTGGGAACCACTGGCTTAGACTATTATAATGCTCACTAGTATCGGAGCTTGAATTCATGTGCCTTACCATGATCATCATTTCCTTTTGGCTGTTGTTAATAATAAAGTTTAGTTGTTTCTTTTCTGTGTTACATTTTTTTCCCCCTTAACTCTTTGAGTCCCAAGGAACGCATGATACGTTCATACGTTCCTACCTAGAAGCCCAATGAACGCATGATGTGCCGATTTTATTACTTTTTTACTACCCCCTGGGCCTGTGATGCTAAACCTCTGGGACTCAAAAAGAGTTAAAATCTAGCTTAATCCATTAGCAAAAAAGGTATTTTAGCAAATGTCAAACATCTAAAAAAAAACTTTGATGTAGCTCTAGAGCACATGACTTTATAAAAAAAAGTTTAATACTATGTGAAAGTGTCTATTCAGGTAGCCAGATTTCTTAATAATGCTCTGACCAAATGTAGAAAGTCAGAGAAAACATTATATGAGGGCTGGGATTTAGTATGAAGAGGAAATCACTCTGTAAGAGTTATAACAGAGTTAATTACAAAATAAATAATATTGCTGCTTGTTTTCTCTTGACTCTGTTAAGTGTGCCTTCGCTGACTACTGTGGGTACATGCTGTTGTCAAAAGCTTCCTTAATGGAATTGAATGGTCGGTTGCAAAAGTCTGTACCAATTACAAACTTTAGGGCGAACATCATTATTGAAGACTGTGAACCTTTTGCTGAGGTGAGCTGCATTATTATCTTTAGTTTCTTTCTTTTGTATTGTTGTATGAAAGTTTAAAACATTCAGTATTTGCAATCTGTTACATACAAGCTCACACAATGGATGTGTAGTTTTTGAGACTTTTGAAATGACTCTTTACTATCCGTAGGATTAATAGACCTATAACAAGAAACCAGTCCTAAATGGAATTAAGAGGTGGACTAGAAAATCCTTTAGGGTCAGCTTCCTAGGCAGCACTGCCTGCAGGAGCATCTACCCTCTTTCCTGAGACAAAGATAAAGATGTTAAAAAAAAAAGCATTGTGCTTTGTAGTGATTTATGTCATTGTCTTCACAGCTTTTATCTTCTTTATCTTCTTCTTCTTCTTCTTAGCGTTCACTGGCTGTAAACTCTGGCAGAAAGTTCTGGTTATTTGTTCACCTCTGAACTTTAGTCTTGTTTCACAACCTTTTTTTGTGTGTGTGTGCACATGTTTTACCGATCTGACTTATTTGTATGCAAACTGCCTCTGCTTGGCTTTCAGGCAGATGCACTCTGACTTTAAAGGAAGCCCCCAGTGAGTCGGCTTTGACGACATGCTTTTTTTTAGGAGGCAGTGGATCTATTCTTGTTTTCCCCACAGTGTGAGCCCCAGAACCCACATGGGGAGATCTTCTTTGTCATATTCATGTAGTAATTAAAATAAAGGAACATGTATATACATTTCTGTATATGACTGGGTAAAGCATGAAGAAGTAATTAAACTGTTAGAAAAATTAAACATTGATGGAAAAGATCTACGAATAATAAAGAATATGTATTGGCAGCAAACAGCAGCTATAAGAATTAACAACTGTTTAGGTACATTTCAAAGCGTAAAGAGGGGCGTACAACAAGGATGTGTACTATCACCTGATTTGTTTTCAATATACAGTGAATATATAATGAGATCTTTAATTGAAAAGCCCGTAATTGTGGTTGGTGGGCACAATATAAACAATTTACGTTATGCTGATGACACAGTTTTGATAGCGACAAGTCAGAAAGAACTACAGGAATTGATAGACATTGTGGTGTTAGAAAGTGGAAGAATGGGCTTCAGTTTGAATAATGGGAAGACAGAAGTAATGGTGTTATCAAAGAAACAAATTATTCCTAAATGTCGATGGTATTATTTTGGGACAAGTACAGAAATTTAAGTATAACATCAGATAACATCAGATGGAAGATGCATAACTGAGATGAGAAACAGAATGGGACAGGAAAAAACTGCATTTTATAAAATGAAGAACATCGTGTGCAATATCTCCTTATCATTGAAAGTTAGAAAAAGAATTCTTGCTTGCTACATACATCCAGTTTTAACATATGGCTGTGAATCCTGAACAATCAGCAGGCAGGCCAAACAATTTCTTGAGGCCTCAGAGATGTGGTTTTACAGAAGAATGCTTAGAATTCCTTGGACAGCCAAAAAAAGCAACCAAGAGGTTTTTAAAGAGGCAGGAGCCTCACAGACATCAGAAGGAGACAGTCATCATTTTTCGCCCATGTTATGAGAAGAGGGAAAATAGAACATGTTGTGACCACTGGAAAGATCTGTGGAAGGAGGGATAGAGGAAGACAATGAGAGAAGATTCTTGACAGTCTTGTTGCATGGCATGGAGGTGTGTCGGCACACGAACTGAAACATGCTGCAGGAGATCACAGATTATGGAGAGGCATGATCGCTCACGCTAGTCAGCAAGGCACCTGATGATAGTGATATACATTTCTATTTCTAGCCATTCTAGGGTCTTTGCTAGGGTCTTTACAATTAAGCTACTGATGGTCACAGAAAAAGTTCCACTGACTTCTTAAAAAATGATTTCCCCCTTTGTTCTTGCCATGAATGAATCTGTCTAAAGAAAGTAAAGATAAGATAGCTCCATAGCAGATTCCACTGTTGTAATATGAAGTGTTTTGCCTTCACATAGGTCATGGCACATGATGTTTAGTGGCAGTTTCCTTCCACATCAGTTTTCCTTCCCAGAAAACTATCCTCAGTTCATAAATATAAATAATAAATAAATATATTATCATCTGGTCATCATCATCATCATCAGGTGCCTTGCCGACTGGCCTGGGCAATCATGCCTCTCATCTGGTACGTAAACTTGGCACAAATTCATGCTTAATTAAACTGGGCATATTGACTTATGAGCTATATTAGGTTTAACATACTCACGCTTGAAGGAGGAGCAGAGAAGAATTTAAAAAAAAAATTGCAACTTCTCTTTTTATTTTTTTTAATGGAACATTGAACATTTATAAAAGAAAAGTTTAGTGACGTTAACACATATGCTGTGATTTTTGCAGGATACCTGGAGTTCTCTCCATATTGGAGATGTCCATCTACGTGCCTTGGATGCATGTACGAGATGTATCATGGTAACAATTGACCAGACTAAGGGAGTTAAAGACAAGAATGAACAGCCGCTAGCAACACTGAAAAAGTAAGAGATATGTGTTTCTACAGGTGTAGGAGCTATTTGTTTAGTGGTTAAAGCACTAATCTATTAGCACAGTATTTGACGGGTAAATCCTCGGTTAAACAAACATATCATTAGGACATGGAGAGAGTGGGGCAGAGGGGAGTGACCAAGGGATTTAACTGACAATCAACACTCAAAGAAGCTCATAAAATCAGAGTGCTACTGGTACCATTAGAACTGGAGATCTTTGCTGGCTGCTGAAGATAAGGACATAGCACCCACTGGAATGTTTGAAGTGTCGTGATATCGATGCTTAATTCAGCTCAAAGCATTCTCCTTTAAGTAGAGTTGTTGTGACCATATGGTGCAAAGTCAATCCAGTCTCATACAATAAATACCAGGAAGTTAATGAAAATTTATTATGAGAGGATTCACTTCATTGCATGAGGTTTTACCTTTAATGGCTCAGTCAGTGTTTCTCTTCTGGACATCGCACAAAGTATGGCACTAGCTCCAACAAAGACCCCTGGAGGATTTCCATCAGTCCCTTGTGAAAAACCTTGACACAGACTGCAGTCGTAGAAAATCCACCAGCATACACAAGCATTAAATACATAAAGCAGCAAACAGGTATACCAAAGCACAATCTAAAATGGAAGCCCTGACTAGGAAATTCAAGATGAGGGCATTCAGAACATAGCCCATATAGACAAACACCCCCGAGACCCTGAATATTTGTTGGAGACATACATTCTACATGCATTATGAAGATCCTTTGTTTTGTTTGTTAGCATTTCAGTAGAAACCAAGCTATAAGGGATCAGTGGAGGACATGTGTCGTACCACAGCCTTCATGGAGGCCTGTGGCCTTCTAACCTGAAACCATTGGCAGGTAGATAGAACAAACAGCAGAAGAATCCAATACTTTCAGAGGTTTTGAGGTTTGAAGGTTTGAACAACGGATCAATATCATGGCACATGGGTAGTAACCCATAAGTGCTCCGTTCTTCTTCTAATTCAAGTCTGAGTCAGAAGAAGCTCAGCACAGTGCACAGGCTCTGTAACACCGGCAAGAATCATGAAATACTTTGGGTAGATTTTTAACTTAAAAATTTGCCCGGGCAGCGCTGTTAGGCTACTCTTTTCGATTTTCAACTGCCAAGGATTTTTTATGTGCGCGACAATGCACAAGGACGTCTAATCTCACTACCCAGAGACCAGGGGAAAAAACTAGAAGTCAAAGTCTACATGAAAAAATCCCAGCCATTACCGGGGTTCTGAACCCGGAACCTCTAGCACATGAGGCGGACACCGTGCCTCAAGACCACGCAGCCCCAGTTTTCAGAATATAAGGCAAATAGCTTAACAACTTTGCCACAGAGAGCCTCAAGAGATTTTTAAAAGGTAAGAAAAAAGGTATTGTCTGAAAAATATAGAGTCAATGAATTAATAACAGTTGTGTTGTACCTATCATGATGACTGGAAAGATCACTGGTGGAAGAGGCAGAGGCAGACCAACAGAAATGATGGTGGATGGCTTAAGACAGTGGCATGGAAGATCATCATCAGTGGAATTGATCCAGAACAGCAACGACAGAGATCTGTGGAGATGCCTAAACGTCTACGGCAGCTGGCAAGGCACTCGATAATGATGATATGTTGCAAACTTCTTGTTTTTTCTTAGTTTTTACCGGCTGAAAACTCCAGTGGAAAGTTCTGGTTGTTTGTACCCTCCTGGACTTTGGTTTTGATCCAGAACCTGAGTTTTTTGTGCATGTTTTAAAAATCTGGCTTATTTGTTTGCAGACTGTTGATTTCTTGCCTCTGTGGCAGAGGCACTCCAACTTTAAAGGAGCACCCCTAATTGTCTCCCACAATGTGCATTTTAGAGGTGCAGGAGGAGCTCGCTTCTTTGTTTTCGGAAATGGAGCCCAGGAATGGGGAGTGGTGCCGTCAGCTCCATGTATCCAGAATATATCTGGATCATTTTACGTGTGCAGTTCAGAGAATTAGATACAAGAACCGAGAAGGTTAACCCGGGCAACAAATGCCTGCAGAAGTTGGATGTGTCGGCTGAAAGGTGCAAATATCGCAGCCATGTTGTAAATGGGCACAAAGCATTTATATCTTTGGATGAACGCTGAAGAAGAAGAAGATTGATTGCAGGACAGTTATAGTAGGAGAAACTACAATAGATAACAGAGAGCCATGGTAGTACAACTAGTTGGGTTGAGTTGAGTCAAGAATTGACATCACAGCACTCAGGGCATTCCTATGCCTGCTCTGTCCTCATCTTCAGCAGCCAGTGCACAGTTCCAATACTGATGGTACCAGTCACAATCTGGTTATATGTCTTGCACACTCAGTGGATGATGTGATCATCAGCATAATGGCAACTGCTTTTTCTTCCCAGGACTTTACCAGGTACCCATGTAATACTGCATCATCCTAAAAGCCAAGGTCATTTTTGAACGACGAAAAAACAAACTCAGTGCGGATTTCTTCTTCTTCTGCGTTCATCTGAAGATGTAATTGCATTGGGTCCATTTACAGCATGGCTGCGATATTTGCACCATTTGGCCAACACATCCGACTTCTGCAGGCATTTGTTGACCGGGTCAGCCTCCCCGGTCAGTGCAGATTTGAATCCAAGACCTTCATGTTGACAGGATGAGCATCTAGCTGCTACACCACGGCTGCACCCAGAAAATAAAGAGAAGTTATCTTCAATTTGAAAAAAGTCAAAATTTAGATTTTTCTGACACACTGTGGAGCGTTTGTCAGGTTTACAGAAAGGTTCAATATTTGGAAGTTGATACACGCAGATGTGTGTTGGGCATAATAATTCTTTTGGTGAGCCCACCATCATGTGTCAATTCTGCATTTATGTAAGACTCCTTGGATGGTGGGGAATGTCCCATATTCTGCCTCTCCTTACTTCTGAAGGATGACTGTTATGCAGTGCAATGTTTATTGATGAGTTTGCTGGGAGATGCATCTACAGTCAAGAGGGGAAAGATGATCACACAACAATCAGAGTTGGCGACTAAAATATAGGTCTAGCCCTATATGCCCTATACGCCTAAAGGCATGGAAAAGGGTCCTTTACTTTTTTTTTTTAGTATTGACAGTTCCAGCTTCACGGTAAATGAGTCATAGTTGCTCCATTCCTGTGCCAATGAAAACCACACAGAATGTCCCCCACGATCCCTTGTGAAAAATATTGACACAGACTGCAGTCTTAAATTAAATACATTAAAACAGCAGTCAGAAGTGCCAATACTTATAGTCCAACACAAGAAATGCAGTATATTGTCGATGAAAGCAGCAATAACAACAGATCAGTAGTTGCACACACAAAATTAATCACATAGGAGACCACACATTCTCTGGCAACAGGCCGCTTGTCATTTTCTTAATATGCAGTTCACAACACAAATCACATTAGCTCTTTGAGTCTCAAAGAACGCATCATACTTTCATAGGTTCCTGCCTAGAAACCCAATGAACGCAAGATGCGCCAATTTTACATCTCTTTTGACTACTCCTTGGGCCTCTGATGCTAAACCCCCTGGGACTCAAAGAGTTAAGCACAATCAAAAAGCATTCCAAATGATATCCACAGCTCACAGTGTCATGCTATGCACTCTACTCTTTAGCTGGGCAATAGAACTATTTCCTTTCAGTCTACGTATGGAAGAAATGCAACAGCTAAGGTGACAAAAAATATGACCGGAGACTGTTGGCAGCTTCGTCTAGCTAAAAGCAGGTTGAAGGTGGTGAAGTTTTTTTTTTTAAACGGAACAGCTAACAATATCCAAAGCAAAAACTTGCCACAACTAAAAACAGTAAATCTACCTGTTCCCTCATATAGACCGGAACTAAGAACTAATCTGTCTTATGTCCAACACAGGTACAGACTGAGAGACCCCTATGGTGATAAGCCTTGCTTTGGCGTCAACCACACCTGCGACAAGCCAGGCAAGATCAAGGTTGGAGATCCAATCTATGCCACCCTTTCGTAAGATACTAACTTGATTGATCTTGTTGAGGGAGCAGTTCTGAGATTCATACTGTGAAGTCTTCATTCATAATCAGATAATTATACAGAATTAAATTTGCAGTCTATGAAAACATTAATTAAGTAATTGGACGAATTTTCTTCATGCATTTGCAAGATAAAGGTTGTTTGTTGTTTTTAATTGATGTATATTTTATTTGTTTCTGTAATTTCTTTCAGTTTAACCAAAAAACGCACAAAGTGATTATGTACTTTTTTTTCCCTCTTGCATTCTCTTCTTCTGCCTTTCTATCCCCCAATGGAGCATATACCCTCAACCAACTCACGCCAAGTCGTTCTATCCTTCGCCATTACATGGAGCTCTCCCCATGTCCTCCCTCTCTTGCATTCACTCACTGTAAACTCTGGCAGAAAATTCTGGTTATTCGTCTGTTTCTGGACTTAGTCCAGAACTTTTGTTTTATGTATACATCCATTTTATAGATCTAGCTTATTTATGTGCAGACTGTTGGTTCCTCACATCTCAGGCAGATGCACTCCAACTTTTTGATTTCCCACCTCTCAGGCAGATGCACTGCAAATTTGGAGGGATAGCCTAGCTGTAAACTTCAGCACAACATGCCAACCACCCTTTTAAGAGAAAATGCAGAAAAAGATTATTTCTAATGTCTGTCTTCTCTTACCTCATTATCTCTTTTCTGAGTCATTTCATCTTGTTACAGTTCTGCTTCTGCTTTTATCATATGAGATCAATGACAAGCTATTGCTCTAGTAGCATTATGTTTGTAGGAAGATTTGGAACTAGTCATTCTTTGTAAAAGATAACGACTATCTTGGAAATTTAATTTTTGCTCGAGCTCAATACTGATTTTTTATTTTAAATCAGTAACCAGGACTGCTGAACCAGCTGCTATTACAACTGTCTCTATTTACCACTTTTGATGCGTGTGTTTGGGGGGCAGGGGTTGAGCCTGAGGACTTAGGGCTGCATGCCTAGAACAGTTGCCACAAACTGTGCAGGTTACAATTTTTTTCCCCCTGGCGGAAAAAGAACCCACAACCTTGCCTAGAGTTCAAACCTGGATCTCCCAGATAAAAACCTCGCATTCTTAACCATTTGACCAGACAATGCAGGCCAAACCAGCTTAAATAGAGTATATATTTATCTAGTGAGAAGTTCTTAGAAAGTTAGACCATTTAATACTTGTTTTCAGTCAGAAATACTTGGAAATGCGAGACATCTATGTACTACTATTTAATCAGCCTTCAGGAAACTGGTCTTCTACTTGGAAATATTAGCCACACAAATACTACTGTTCTCTTAGAAATACTTGGAAATATTAAATACCTGAATACTGGTTTTCTGTCAGAAACACGTAGCCTCTCAAATACTGACTTCCTCACAATGTAATGAGTTCTTGTCTTGTGGTTGTGAAGTAATAATAAAGTTTTGACTGTTGGTTTTGTTACTTTAACTGCCAGTTACTTTACACATTTGCCAAATTAATGAATCTGATGTTGTATGATTTTATTTTATTTACCTATAAGCTCAGAAAGCATTTTCTTATTATTGATAATTATCCTAACCACTCACAACCTTCTGTTTTACTAGCCTAAATACTGTAATGGTTCTACAGTTTGTTCTTTCACAATAATTGATGGAATAATGCTGTTCCTGGATGCTAACTGGACTTGCCTGGATCTGTTTCTAACCTCTATCATGTTGTTAAGTGAGTTAGAACACAATGATGTAAACAACACCCACTGAATACAGTCAAATGTTTATTGCATTCCCATCGACAATGCAGTCCATTCAGTAGTCTCATTATCTAGTTTTCGTGAAGTTGGCTGACACTAAAGATGGCAGATTACATCATTGGTCGAGCATTCAAGTATTTACCTTTCCGTCCAAGCTTCTCATTTTGACGAACAGGCGTGGCATCATCCGTAATGTAGATTTGGTAACCGCTCTGTGTTCATATATTCAACACTGCAGCCATCCACTAGCTTTCACGATGCAGATGACATTCATTCTAAAGACAATTCTTGCACTCAGCACATTCTGACCGCTTCCATTCCTCTCCAAAAACCAACTGCCGTTCTCTTTTTTGCCCTTGAACTCTTGTTCCCTTTGCACAGAGTTTGGGCTGGTAACTATTCACTGCCCTTCTTGACTATCTTTTATTTTGTGTAGCCCATTTTCTTACTGGCCTGTCACTGTGCCACGTCATAAGGGGTTTCCTGGGAATTCTCTCATTACAGCTGACATTATATTTATGATTAACATAAAACTATTTATTCTAAATCAGGCTTTAAAAATATATTTAGTGTGCCGAATTATTAACATACAAACCATGCATTCACCCGCACAGAGATATTATATTTACACTCCATGAAGAATCCTGCCCTCCATGAATGGCAGTTTGTAACCCTAATATACCCCAATGTTACTGTTTTAAAATGTTGAAGATGGTTGTGCTATTTGCTCCTGTTTGGTTTGCATCAGAACAGTGACGGTCAACATCACCGGCTGTCAGTTTGTCTGGCTGCAGTTTTCTTCTTCTTTTGTCGTCTCACTGATATCAGGTTGTAGCCAGATGTCATGGTTTTTCTATATTTGTCTTACACCTCAGGTGGCTTTAGTGATGGATTTGTTCATCTTTTTGCAGGCTTCAGCTACACCATTTATCCCTCTCTTTCTTGGTCTTCCTCTACTGTAAAAAAAAAAGTCTCATATGCAGTCTTGTCTGGCTGCATTCTTACCAGATGGCTGAACCATTTCATTCTTTGTTTTTCAATATAATCAAGACATGGTCTTCATTTGGTTGCAGTCTCAGAAAAAAAAATTGTTTGTTTATTCCGTATTGTTGAACAGGGTATCTGAGCGTGACCTGTTGGGCTACCATCAGCACTGAGATTCTTTAGTCTCATAGTGTCGCACCTTCAGGTCCCCTTGGTTGCCATCCTGATTGAGATCTTCTGGTCTGAGAGTGTCAAACTTTCCAAGTAGCAACCTGGAGGAGATAAAGTGCAGATGGGCCTGCTGCGGAACACAGGTGCTCTAATTACAGTTTCTCAGGAGGTTGAACGGGGTATCTGGGATTTGTCCTGCTGGGTTGATATCCAGGATTCTAGTTATCAGGCTGCTGGATCATTAAGTCTTCAAACAGCAGCCCAGAGGGGAAAGCAGTGAGTCGTTTACATTTTAACTAGGAGAGATTGTATGTTAGCAGTTGCTTTAACATTGAACATGTAGGTATATTGTTATTACTATTATTATTATTATTATACGCCTAGCGGCACAAGCAGATTTTGACAAAAGAGAAAAAAGATTATTATACACATAATCGCCTGGCTCGCTAGCGTAGTTGGCTAAACCTGACTTCGCAACAAGCGGGGGATGAACTTCATGTGGTCCGGGCTCATGCCTGGGGGTAGGCAGAAAAGCCACATTTCTTCCAAATTACAGTATTTATCATGGAATCAAGGTCGAAGGGTTGCGGTATCCATAGTACCGAGACAAATGGTTAGCAACTCATGGTTTCTAAATATAAAAAAAAAAAAAATTCACATAAACAGTGTTTGGCCAACTGAGGAACCTACCTCAACTCCAGAAAATTTGTGAAGGGCCTAATCACACCAATATGTTTTTTAAATCCAGCCCCTGCTTGTTAGGTATTTGTTTAAAGGCAAGCCAGCTGCCATTACCTGCTATAACATTTCCTAATTCCCAGTGTAGACCTGTGTTCCCAGTCAGTTAACAAGAAATCTTCACAGGATTCAGATACCACTGATATTGAAAGATATACAACTGTTTTTATCTGTAGGTGTTGTTTTTTTAAAAACACAAGCATTGTCTGTCTTTGTTAGTACAATCTGTGTTGATTACACCGATGAAAAGAGTACCACAAGACTGTACATTTTTTTCATATAAATGGTTGTTTTTAATGCCATTCATAAATTTTTTTCAAGCCTTACCCATCTACTCTTTGTCATTTACACAAGTATCAACTGCTTTAAATAATAAATATGTAACTTTTGAAAACTGTTTGCTGTGTGTATTTTTGATCAGTTAGCCTTCTCAGGTTGTTGTGTGAGAATTTGTAATTATTTACGAGAGGAAGTCAATAAGTAAGTCACAAATGGTTATGGGATGGCAGGAAAATGTTGTTGGTGGTTTCTAAAGGTGTCAATAGGTGACAGCAACATCAGACTTTATGCCTCTGTTCATTAGGTGGTGCTAGGTTTTGCATGCACATTTGCAACACAGAAACAAAATGGTGACTGTACTTACAGAGTGTACCCTCAAAAACATTGTGCGTTTGGGGGAAAAAGGGGGGGGGGGGGCCAAAAGGGCTACCTGCAAAAGAACATCTGTGCATATATGAAGGAATGTATGTGTATATATGTATGTATGTATGTATGGTATCATTTACAAGGTCCGACAATTAAGTAATGAGACTGATTTTATTACAGCCAAGACAAAAGTGCTATCTATGAAGTAAAGCATGGAATCCAAAGAGGCAACCTTCATTTATGATCTGGTAACTTTACATCGCCGCCTGATAAGCAGACAACAAACAAGCCGCCATTTTATTGACCTGGTTAGATGTGCATTGTTACAAAATCAGTATAGAGCAAAAAGCTAACATTAAATTATGTTTAAAACTCAGAAAAAGCACCATTGAGGCAGCTGAATTGATGCGACAAGTTTATGGGGATAATTGTTTATCTGGTGCACAGATTTTCAGGTGGTATTCACGATTCCAAAGTGGTATGGAAAAGATTACTAATACAACTAGACCTGGACGCCCAATTTCTGTTTGTAATGATGAACTCATTGCAAAAGTCGTAGAAAAGATACAAGAAGATCGTTGTTTTACTGTCAGGAAGATGGCAGGTGAATCTGGGTTAATAGAGAGAACTTTGTAAAAATTATGTGCAAAATTTTGGCAAGAAGAAAATTGCTTGCAGGTTTGTACAGCATTCGTTGTCTGATGACCA